GTAGTTTCAGTAGTCCAGATGTGGTTTCTATGGTCCAGGTGTGGTTTATATGGTCCAGATGTGATATATATGGTCCAGATGTAGTTTCTATGGTCCAGCTGTGATTTCTATTGTCCAGGTGTGGTTTCTATTGTCCAGGTGTGGTTTCTATGGTCCAAGTGTAGTTTCAATGGTCCAGATGTGGTTTATATGGTCCAGATGTGCTTTATATGGTCTTGATGTGGTTTATATGGTCCAGGTGCAGTTTCTATGTTCCTGGAGTGGTTTCTATAGGAAGAAAGATAAAAACAACACAGATTAATGGCAGCTATAGTTGCCATACTTCTTGTGTTTAAACATGGAGAGTATAGAGAGGACATGTGGTCAGCTGGTCCTCCACCAGTCCAAGTCTACAACAGCAGAACTAAAGGATAATAAAGATGAGATTATAAGGAATTACAGTAATCTAGCCTAGAAGTGATAAATGTACCAATCAGTTTGCTGCATCATTTTGGGAAACAATTTTCCTAGTTTTAGTAAAAGTGTGCACGGGGAAGAAGGTGGTCCTGGTAACTTTACATTGAAGTTAAACTACAGGTTTTATGTTTCCTTCAGCTGTTTGTCTTTTTGAGCTTCAGGTTACCTCACATGGCACACTATGTGAAAACACGTAATCTAAGATGGCTGAATTACCAACTTAGTCCAGATCCAAGCAGTTTTTTTGATTTTGTACCTTAAGTGAAATTTTTTAAACTTCTATCATGTTCTATGTTTTATGTTCTTCTAAGTTCTGTCATGGATTATTAAAGACTTGAACCCTTTCATTTACAAACTCACTGAAAAAAAGATGTCAGTTTTTACTTATTTATTCAAGCAGTCAAAACAATAAATAAAAAGCCAAACCAATGCACAAATATCCACCACATATTGAATGTAGTTTAGAAATATAAATGAAAACCACGATTTGATGTTTGAATTTTTCAGTGACTAAACTAAACTGCAAGTTTAGTTTTGCACGTCTCACTTAGGCAGCGGTTATCTTGGTGTCCTGGCTTAGTTTGAGTCTGTTACTTTTATTGACCCATGTCGCGAAGTGAAGAGGGGGAATTGGAAATACCCTCCACGGATCGACCGACCGACCGACCGGACGGACGGACGGATAGATGGATAGATGGATGGGTGGATGTTTGGATGGATGAATAGATGGATGGATGATACTTTATTGATCCCCAAGGAAATTACATGGTGGTCTGTAACTCCCATTCAAACAAACAATAAAATAACACACCAGATTAAAAAAAATGGAGTATTAAAAAAAATCAATAATAATAATAAAAAAAACACTAAGAGGAGATCAAGCAAAAACTATGTTAGGGGGACATAACCAGCTAGCTTCTCAGGTTCCTACCAGGAGTGGCCAAATTGTACAGCCTAATGGCCCAAGGGACAAATGAGTTCTTTAGTCTCTCAGTGAGCACCTCAGTGAACGGAGTCTGGAGCTCAGTGAACTTCGCTGATTAGAGAAGACAAGAGTCCAAGGGATGGCCCTGATTGGACATGATCACCCTGATCTTGGAGCACATCCTCTGCTCCACCACCTTCTCCACAGCGTCAAGGCCCAGGCCCACCTCAGAGCCTGCCTTCTTAGAGATAAGATAAGATAGAACTTTATTGATCCCGCAGAAAATTATTGTGCCAGATTTTCAGTACAAAGGAACATACACAAGGAATCACAAGATATAAAGTTAACAGATAATATAAAAAATAATAGAGAATATAAAAATGCCAACAATTAAGTTAAGAGGAGTTGAAAAGCTTGATAGCGATAGGGAGGAAGGACTTCCTGTGTTGTTCTGTGGAGCACCTCGGTGGTCTCAGTCTACGACTGAAGGTGCTGCAGTAAGAGTCCAGGGTGTCGTGCAGGGGGTGTGATGTGTTGTTCAGGATCTGGAGCAGTTTCCTCAGCATCCTCTGCTCAGACACCTGTCAGAGACTGCAGCTCCACTCCCAGAACTGAGCCAGCTCTCTTGATGAGTATATCAAGTCTGTTGGCATCAGCTGTCTTCACCCTGCTGCCCCAGCACACCACAGCGTAGAAGAAGACGCTGAAGACCACCAAGTGGTGAAACATCTGCAGCATGGTCCTGCAGATGTTAATGGACCTGAGGAGAGTCTCCTCAGAAGAAAAAGGCGACTCTTCCCTTTCTTGTAGAGGGTGTTGGTGTTAGCTGTCCAATCCAGTTTATTGTCTAGGTGGACCCCCAGGTACTTGTAGCAGTCTGCAGTGTCCACCTTAGTACCCTTGATGTTGATAGGGTTGGTGGGGCTGGTCTCCTTCCTGTAGTCCACCTGCAGCTCTTTAGTTTTTCCAATGTTGAGTTGCAGGTGGTTCTGTCCACACCACTCCACAAAGCTGTCCACCAATGAGCCGATTCAACCTTAGGATGTCCTTCTTCCTAGTGCCCCCCCCCAAAAAAAAAAAACCACACAACACTAAAAAAAGTATACTAGGCACAAGTAGAACACATGCAATAACTTAGAGCAGACCCTGAAAGAGGCCAGCCTTCTGAGAAAGTACATCCTGCTCTGCCACTTCTTGTACACAGTGTCCATATTTGCAGTCCAGTTCAGCTTGTTAAGAGGAGTTGAAAAGCTTGATAGCCACAGGGAGGAAGGACTTCCTGTGGTGTTCTGTGGAGCACCTCGGTGGTCTCAGTCTACGACTGAAGGTGCTGCGGTAAGAGTCCAGGGTGTCATGCAGGGGGTGTGATGTGTTGTCCAGCTATAGCCCAAGATTCTTATAGGTTGAGACCACCTCACCCTCCGATCCATCAGTAATGATGGGCTGCAGAAGGGGTGATGCTCTGAAGAAATCCAGCACCCCCTTTTTGGTTTTAGTGGCATTTAGCAAAAGCTTGTTCTGATGGGACCACCGAACAAAGTCCACCAGGCCCCTGTACTCCCCCTGGATACACCAGTCTCCCACATCTTTGAGGGATTTCAATAGTGAATGTTTGTAGTTTTGGACTGAACTGGAATTGAACGGAGAATGAAAGTAAACCTTAATGTCTCTGTGCAAGATATTCACGTTGGCAGGAGTTACACTGTGGAGAAGAACAGAGGGAGGTTTTATTTTGTTATTTTTCTTGTCTGAGGCAACGCAGAGTGACTGATCCAGGGAGCAACTTTCCACTACCAGGTGCAATGGAGAAGCCAGGAGGTGGTCAATGGTGGCCTTGGCTCCCATAGGTTAATTTATGGCCACCCCAATCATTTAAGGAAACTATTTTTAATCAATATAAAAACCAGAAAGCAGTTTCCTCAAATGATAGGGGTGGTTTGGTTGGTGTACATATGATGGTGCCCTTTTTGGAGTTTGACCTGTCAACCCAGTTTTCAAATGGAACCTTTTTCTACACCTAGATGCAGCTACACACTAAAATGGAAACATGCAAGGACGAATGGACGGTATTTCCAAGCCCCCCTTTTCGTTTCATGATGTGGAACAATAAAGGCGTAGCATTCCTTGAAGAAATGTAAATTGCCTGTTGCCTTTCATGCCAGAGTTTTAAACAAAGATCTTCTTGAGAAGCTGAGTTGTATCCATTTTAGTCAAACGTTGAAAAATAAATAGATGTGAAACATCAGATTGTGATGTCGGTGCTGAAATCATGTATTGTCAATTAGGGCTGAATGATTTTGGAAAATATTCTAATTGTGATTTTTTTTTTACATCAATATTGCAACTACCATTTATTATGCAATTTTTTTTCAATGTCTTCTTCTCATGTATTTTTCAACGGACACAAGCAATAAATCAATCTGTTTCAGTTGCAAAAAACTTCACTGTTTTCAGCTCCGCTGCAACTTTGTTTCTGCATTTTTTTGTATAGCTCCGGGATAGCAACTTGACTAAAATGTGTGTGCGAGGGCATTCTGTACCACTTATCCATTGTGTTTACCCAAGCCGTAACCCCAAGCTTGGTCACTATATTAATGGGCATCATGTCTTTTGCGATGAACTCCGTTATTGCTCGAGTTATTTCCACGTGCCGTTTCGAATTATGTTCATACGGAGTAATACCTTCGAACAGTTCGGTCAGTGATCCCTGTCGGCTGATACAATGCTTACTGTATATGAAAGTTTCATTTTCATCATTACATTATGGAAAATAATGACATTTATCACAATATGCAAATTTTTTGAGAAGGACCTGTATATCCAAGGTTGTCATTGTCCAAATAAATAAATAAATTAGTGTTTCAGTCAAAGTCAATTAGAGAGAAAAATAACAATGCCATAAATAGTAATTTTTGTTATTCCTATTCATAAGAATAGTTGTTTTCTTACCTGTGAGTCAGCCATTGCAGTTTAAAATGACCCTGACTGGTCTACAGTGCTCTCATCCAGCTGAGTGTGGTGATGCATTCACTGGTTGTAAAGGCCTGGCTTCAGGAGGAGTTCTTAGAAATATATATTTAATTTTTCATGTCTTGTATAATTGATGCCTCATACAGATGTGGTTGTTTCAGCTGCATTAACCCTTGTTCCATGCTTGTTTCATCAGACCTCTTCAGGGTGTGACCAGGATCAGCAATTAGGAGTTTCCTGTGCCATGAAGACTCAGAAGTGCCAAGGAGTTGCACCAACATTGCCCCCGTGCAGACGGAAACCTCGTTTCCACCTACGAGGCAGGAAGAAAAAGGACAGGGTGATTCAAGGCAGGCTTCGCATCCGCTCCTTGCCAGGAGCGTTCCTCATTCTGGGGGGTTTTGTGGTGGCTCTTGGTACTGCTCTGGCTGTGGCTGGGTACTGGCCCTACAGGTTATCAAGATCATCAATCCCGGAAAATCCTGAGGAGGAGCAGAGCGTCGAGTCGCAGACATCTGCTTGGAATCTGGGCGCCAAGGGGCTTCTGTCCTCAGCTGGTCTTCTTCATGGTGAGCGGATGAAGCTGCTGGGACCGGTCATCATGGGGGTGGGACTCTTCATTCTCATATGTGCCAACACAGTTTTATATGAGAACAGAGATAGAGAGACCCAGATGCTGCTTGCTCAAATGCATAACATTATCTGCTCCGTGTCTGCGGCTGTGCCCTCAGCAGGCCTCAGGGACGCAGCTGCAAACTCCATGACCAAACACTATCAGTGGGTGAGCACTCTGCCCGCTACTCATCTCAACATCCTGTGTCTGCAGCAGCTGACGAGCTCCGAACCTCTGCTCCAGACCAGATACACCAGAGACCACACGGAGAGGGTAGAAGGAAAGTACCAGCAAGCTCTTCTCCAGACCGATGCACTCCATCACCAAGAGTCAGAGCCACCTCCTTCCATGTCCTCTTCCTGTTCTAACTTGTGTAATAACTGTCCGACAGATTCACAGACGAGCGCTGAATGGGGGACCAACTCAGGGCCACAGACTCGCCCGCTTCTTAAGCTCAACGTCAGTCTGGTGTCTTCCAGCTCTATGTCCAACCTCGAACTAGAAGATGCGGATGTCCCGGCTGCCCAGCCGAGGCGATGCCACAGCATGAGCCACAGGACTTGTCCTTACCAAACCCAAACTGGGGTGAGTCCGATGTTGGGGCTCTGTACGGTCCAGAAGGAAAGTCAGATCAATCCATTGGAAGTTCCCAGAGGAGAGACCGGTTCCCAAGTTTGTGTGAACATCCCAGGGCAGTTTGTTGATGCCATGAAGGTGCTGAGCCATCAGAGCTGGCCTCGTTTAGACCTCGGAGGTGGAAGACGATACCTGAAACTGGAGAACAAAGAGGACTCTGTGGACAAACTGCTGGACCAGCTGGAGCAACAGTGTTCTTCCTGCGAGAAGAGCTTTGGCTCTGGGCCGTTCCAGTGATGCGTGTTACTTACTGACAACAAGAATACTAAGAGGAGCAGAAATTTTCCGTTTTTTTTGTTTGTTTTGAATTCATGGTGGAGCAGAGAACAGCATCAGTTTACATTGTCCTTCCATCAACAGAACATGTAGCAGAAAGATTTTACTAAATATGTCCTTTCTCAATCATCTGTGGAATATTAACACACTGATCTTCACTTGGCCAGATTCGGCTGAGGTTTTATAATCATTTCAAGAAGAGAAAACAGCGTCCGTGCAGCGGAAAGCAATGTCACATGTTGTATTTTTGCAGTTTGAATTGGCAATGATGCAGGAAATCACCTGGTGCCATGCTGAATAGACTCGCCTGTTTCCAGGACACAGTGTGCACAGCTCTGTAAAGGAAAGACAGTTTGGTGCACGAGGATAATACTGTGTTAACAATTCTGAACCAAATTACCTACACTCCTGAGTCCATAAAGTGCTGACAGCTCTTAAAAAATGCAACGCCTATATAAAAACTGGACACCTTTACTGTGGTCTCTTACTGCAGATGCAATGCATGGCAATATATTACATCTTACTTATGCAAAGTGATGTCACTGCTGGGTTTGTGTGTACAGACTAACAAAAGAGGAATTTTGTTTATTAGAACTTTGCTCTTGTTATCTCCAGTTTGTCCATTTGTGTAATGATCACGTTACACTCCATCACACCCCTGCACATGCTAGATAAAGATACTATTCACACACTATCCAACTCTGGTTACTCTTCTCCTCAAATGCCAGTGGGTGATGATGTTGTTGTCTGTGTGTATACAAGTGTTTGTCATGTTACCAAACAATATCATGAACCAGAGAACAGATTGTAACTAAACCCTCAGTGAGCTATTACAGTCATCGGATGGATGTGTACTTTATTCAAGAAGCCTGCCACAGGTACTCAACCTTAGCCAGCATCAAAATGGCAACAACTCAGTCTGATTTACAGATACTCAGCTAGAATTCAGTGAGAGTCATTCACAACACATCTTCTGTTCACTAATAGATTGTGCCAGGTCTTGTGATATGACATGGTATGGTCTATTCATCCACCCATTATCTTTACTCACTTCTTCCTTTTTGGGTAGCGGGGGTCACTGGTGCCCATGTCCAGCTATCACTGCGAGAGGCAGGGACACTCTGGACAGGTCTCCAGTCCATCACAGGGATATACAGAGACAGATGAGACAAACAACCATTCACTCTCTCATTCACACCTAGGGACAATTTGGAGTTACCAATCAGTCTAACATGCATGTTTTTGGTCTGTGGGAGGAAACTGGAGTACCTGGAGAAAACCCACTCAGCACAGAGAGAACATGCAAACTCCACCCAGAGTGGTCTCTGGCTGTGACTTGATCCGGCGACCTTCTCGCTGAGAGGCAACAGCTCTACCAACTGCGTCACCGTGTAGCCCGGCATGAGATGTTGCTGATGGTAAATTTCAAGGCTGCCATGAGAGGAGATGGGTGACATGCATTCCTTCAACTAATCCTAATCCTGAGCCTTTAAGTAGCAGTGTTTTTATGCTACAGTCTGACACATGTCTGACTCTGATTTGTAGGTTGGAAGCTGAAACGTTTGAGAACCACTGATCCTGAGAACACTCTATAATAGTGTGATCGTGTCATTTAGAAGAAGTACGATGAGTACGATTTTTTTAGTCGCCCGTCGAAGGCAGAACGTATTAGTCTCCATATATCGAAACGTTCTCTGGTCCCACCCATAACTTCTGATCTGCTCAGGATAATTTAATGAAACTTCATACACATGCACCATCAGTAGAAGGAGTGCTCCATACTATTTAACACCTCAGCTTCAAGGTCAAGTTCACAGATCAAGGTCAAAGATTATACGTAGTCTTTGCCCAGGCCATTGCTATAGATTGCTGTACGGCTGTATAATAGTCGATGGGCGTATCATGTGCCGCACTCGTTTGTTTCTCAGTTTCCAAGCTAAAAATAAGAACTAGAAGGAATTCGTATTGCCTGCTGCCTTTTACTCCAGAATTTTAAACTGAGATCTTTCCACATTCAGAAGGTTTGCTGTTTTGGCATTATGAGACGTCACACCCAGAGTATGTGTTGTGAATGACTCTCAGCTACTACCACTCCAAACATTAGCTCAATATTGATAAAACTCACTACGTTTTGACCTATATTAGTATTAGTGTTGCCGTGGATGCACATCCAATAGTAATGTTCTGATATATTTTATTAAAATCTGTGGTGGTTCATGAAATATTTTGCTAACAGACAAGATAAAAGCACCACCATTAATATGCTGATTACAAACTAATCCAACATTAAATAAATGCGCCCAGAAACTCTTCCCAAAGTAAAGTTTTAACAGAAAAACTGTTTTTAAAACTACAGGTCAAATCTAAACAGACTTCTGGAACATTCTTCAAACTGATTGGGTTTTAAATCTGGTTCTGTCTGCTGCTCTGAACCCAACCTGCACGCTCACTGAAGATTTTTATTATATTGTTGATGAATTAAAAGGTGCAAACTGACATGAAATCTTTGATTCAACCCGTTTTAGACCATAAACATGCTGCCTGGTCTGAGTTCAGGACTAAGATCCATGCCTTAATAACAACAGATCTTTTAATCTCCCATCAATTATGGGACTAGAAATTAACTATCGATTATGGATCTATAATTTCCCATCCCCAGGTGGAAACTCAGAACCTCACCAGCAGCTCTATTTGTACTTCACAGCAAAGATTAGGTCAATCCCAGCTTCAGTTTGTTCTTTAACAATTGTTTCCGGAACAGTTTTTGAACATCTGCAGACTGTTTGCAGCTGGTATAGACCCTCAGATGGAAAAGAAGCTCTTACCTTTTGCCAGTAAAGTAGTGATCAACACGTAGACATGACTGGTTGCTGGTTTGCACCGTGGCTTTAACGAATGAAAAAAAAAAACTTATTTTAGTTTCAACTTTTTCAACAAATAAGAAAAACATCAAGCAGAAAGGCTGGCGCAAACCAGAGCCTGGAAACTACTGTATTTTTTCGCCCTATAAGTCACAGTTTTTTGTATAATTTGCATGCCCTGCTACTTATACGCCGAAGCGACGTATTTATGGATTTTTCCCATATTTATAAACTATTTTTTGGCTGAGATATGACCGTTTTCATTCATTCTGACTGAAAAAATTGAACACTACCATTTTCAGCCACTAGATGGCCCTTGAGTAGTATGGCATGCTGTTATGTCAAGTAATGGGTAAAAGTGACTATTAATGACACAATTGCCAGCCGCCGTCGTCTGCATGGAGCAACCAAATCAGCTTCATTTCACTGCATTTCGAAATGCAGCTAATTTGACCGTCAAAGTGTATTTATTAAGTAAGCGTTAGACTGAGACACACCTTTACTATAATTTCAAGCAAACAAATAATAGTTCTTAAGTGTTAATCTTGTTAAATTCTTGTTAAAGTCCTCTTGTGCACGCTCCCGCAACCGCCATTTGGCAGCCAATCGATTTTTGGCACACCACCGGCCCACATTTCCAGGTTGTCAGCAGTGACGCAATAATAGATGCAACGTATACGGTGACGTGACGTATTCATGGATTTTTCCACTTTATTAGACATATTTGGACTGATGCGACTTATAGGGCGGTGCGACGTGTACGGTGGAAACTTTGTTTGTTGGTCACAGGGGAACGATTGGACCCAAGCAGGCTTGAATCCGAGCATCTGGACTAACAACTGCAGTCTTGAACATCAGATTAATTTGGTTCTTTTAATAATTTTTAATGTTTTTGACTCAGTGGAACGACTGTATAACACAAGTCTCAAGGTCTATTAACTTCTGGATTGATAGTGTTTTTCCAACATTAAAATGATTTATTTAGCAGCACTAATTGGAATGAACAATTCTCATCTGTCCCCATCAGATGAGAGTAAATTAGTTGGGGTGTTCACCAAAACTCCAGCTGACCACGGTCTGGAAACTGCTGGAACACCAGCATCTATGTCCACAGTGAAGTCAGCTCTACGTCTGGACTGAAAGCACTGGCTGAGAAAAAAAAGTTTAAAATCTTTAAGGTCAGTCAAGACAGAAACTGATCTATTTAGTCACAGTGACAGTTAATTGACAACAGGTTTGACTGGAGGAGTGAAAGTGGGGTTTTCAAACATAAGAACCCTGAGCCAACTGTCAAGCATGGTGGCAGCAGAATCATGATGTGGTACTGATGGTTACACACAGTGGATGTAACCATGCGTGAGCAGGGCCACCTCCAAATTCTTTAACTTCACCTCAGATCAGCAGCTGGATTATTAAACCTTGGAGGCAGCAGGATGTTCCATCAGAACTGGTCTCTGATTGGATAAAACAGACCAACATCAATGTTCTGGACCAGGCCAAACTGACTGAAAATGTATGGACTCTGTTTAAAAGCCCAGTCCATTCCAGGAAACTAACCAGTTTAAAAGAATTCCTCTCATGGTCAAATATTCAGCCAGTTTTATTCCAGAACCTTGTTGATGTGTGCGGTTCTCATCTCACTGAAAGACATTTAACCAAACATTAGTGGGGTGTATGTATATATCTGAGCCTGTGTGGATCAGAGAAAGTATTCAGTTTGTTATTTTAAATCTTTGAAGTTGTATGTTGCCTAATTTATCCACCCTGGCAAAAAACAAAACAAAAAACGGTTTAAATAAATCAAAGTCCCTAAATAACACGACGATCATACCCATGATGAGTGCATGGGTTTTTATCCCGTATATTAAAGTATATATTCATCTTCCACGCATGGGAGGTCTTCTTCTTCTGCTCCACTTGCAGAAGTCCTGGTGTAAACGGGGGAGGGGAGCTCCAAACTCTCCCCTCTTTACTTGAGTTTATGGTTCCCTCAGGGCATGTATGCAGTTCCTCATGATCTCCTTTCATTTAATTGGTCATTTACAAGATGGCTTTTGGGTTTCTAATGGCTCGTAAAGTGAGCAGGATTGCTACCCTTTGCAGACCAAAAAAAAAA